CTTGGTTTTAGTAACTCAAATTACCTGTTACTCTACAATGTTGAATATAATATCCTGTTGATGTTTTAAGAATATTCAATGAAAAGTTTTTTTTCTGAACACAGAATATGCTAGATACTGTTTTAGGTGATTAGGATACATCAGTGAATAAAACAAAGGTCCCTCCCCTTGTGGAGCTTACTTGATAGTAGAAAGGAAAAACATAATAAATGATCCAGTATATTAAAAAGGTGGAAAGTGCTATGGAAATAAGAAAAGGTAGATCAGGAATAGTGGGGTTGAGGTAGTGTTCAATATTAAATAGGGTGTCAGGGAGGGGGCTCAATGAGATTTGAGCAAAACTTGAAGGTAGGAAATTAAGCCAAGTGCATATCTGGGGAAGCAGCTTCCAGGTAGAGAGAACAGCTAGAGCAAGAGCCCTGAGGTAGTGGCCTGGTCTGTTTGAGGATTGGAGGAACAGCAGGGAGGCCTGGAACAGAGAGCAAAGGGAGAAGACAAGGAGATGAGGCAAAGAGGTAATGAAGTATACATGGGGTGGTGGGGGCTAAGGTGTCAGATCATGGAGGGCCGTGTAGATCATTGTTAACTTTGGATTCTACTCTGAGAGAAAAGGAAAGCCACTACCCAGTTTTGAGAGAGAAGTCATGTACTCTGACTTACAATTTTAAGTGGATTCTTCTGTGTTGAGAATAGACTGAAGGGATGCCAAAGATGGAAGGGAGACTTGTTGGGAGGCTCTAAGGTCAATTCTGTTTGTTTCTATATTGACAGGTTCCTTTGGTAGAAATGAAAGCTTATCGACAAATGGCCCTACTAAGTTCTGCTTTTGCATTTGGTTGGAGCAAGTGGAACCTACTATGTAATTCTACAAAAGTTGTATTTAAGGTATAGTATGTAAAAACCCATAAAACTACTTGGTCCTCCAAAGCAATAAAGTACTAGCTCTTAAAAAGGTAAAACCAAAAACAACCCAAAACATTCAAAATAGAGTCTTAAAATTTCAAAATTTTTCAAAGTTTGTCAAAAATATAAATCCAAACTATGTAAAGGTTATACCTTTGTTGTTCATTATGGTATCAAAGGCTCTTGACTTCAGGCCAGAGTCCTTATATCTCCTTATGTTGACTCAAGAACAAATGGAAGCCTTTAACGTGAACATATCATGATTCACAAACTATCTTGAGAGGATTAGGCTTCCAACTTAACTTTCTGACACAGTTACTATTACCTAGTAGAGAAGGTATCAAATTCTAAAGGCTGACTGATGAATGTTTTAGCATAAACAAGCCATTGTATTTATTTTTCTTGTTTATTGTGTTTCCCCCACTTAAATGTAAGCTGTTTAAGGGTAGGGTTTTCTTGTTGCAGGCAGTTATTTCTGTGTTTTATTTCACTGTTATATTTCTAGCACCTAGAACACAATAGGCATTCAATAAATATTTGTTGCATGAATTAATACATGTGGATAAGGTCAGTAATCACCAAGATATAAACAGTTTCATGGTTTAAAAATTAAGAATATTCAACGTTAGCAATTTGGGGGACTTAGTTGAGCCCTTCAAATAATATTCTACTACCAAAATACTTAATAGAAGAGGAACTTAACAGATTTCTTTTAATTTCTTTTTTTTTTTTTTTTTTTTTTAGGTGAAGGAACACCTTACTGAAGAATGTACTAAGAACCCTAATTGGGTCCTTTTAATGTTTACCGGTGATAGAGCACAAACACTTAAGATCAATGAAGAGAGTGAGGCATTTTCTGAAGCACTTAAAGAAGAAACTGAGTTTCACTCTACTTTATATCACATGGTTAAGGATTTTGCTTCTAGAGAAGCAATGGAGAAAACCCGGAGTTCCAACTGTCAGTTTCTTGATGCTGTATGTCAAATGCTACTTTCTACGAGATTGCTCAGTTATTCTTAATCTCCACTTAGAAATTTTAATCAGCATGAAGAATCAAGCATGTTGGAAAAAAATCAGGTATTTCTTCAATAAAGTATAATGAGTGAATATATTTTAGGCTATTAAAATTGTCTAATCAGCATTTTCTACTGAAATTTTCCTTTGAATACTTGGCCTATTGAGAATTTCAACTTTCACTGTATGAAGATTTGAATGATTCTTTATTCCAATAAACTTTAACAAAACAATATAATATTTCTTCCTCAAAAACTCATTAAAAGATCACAGGCAGGCTTCTTCCTCCTTGTATTTTAGTTGGAGAGATAATCGGAAAAAGAGGGAATGTAAAATATCTTACAGTCATTCTGAAAACCTCTGGTTTCATGTTATACTTTCCCAGCTAAAAGTTACTAATTTATAAAGTTCAGATACTGAAACTTTAAAAATCAAGATACATATATTAGCATGTGCTGCTGTCACACTGGTGGTGGCCCATTGTGTTGGAGTCTGGTAAATGGCCACAGGATATGTTCTAAAGATATCCAGGTGTCCCCTTCCTGTATGGGAGCAGCATCCACGGACTTTTGGAAAAATCGGCCTGTGAAGAAGCTCATCAAAGCTGCAAACAGTACAATGAGTGCAAGAGAAAGCCAGAGTGCCTTATTAGCCTTTCTGATGGAAGTCTTGAGATGTGTTGCCCAGGAAGCTATTGTGTCATAACTATAAGGAAAACACAAATATAGAATTTGGTAATCAATATCTTGTTATTAGAAACACTCCATTTGCTAACAATACCAATCCAGTCAATGATCTGCTCACGTACCACCAATACTGCCTTATAATCTACATATTATGATTTATCATTTTGATTTTGGGCACAGTGTGCACCCCCTGACCCCTTACAATTATTAGAATTACAGCCTGAGCAACATAGTGAGGCCCTGTCTCTACAAAAAATAAAATAATTAGCTGGACATGGTGGCACGTGCCTGTAGTCCCAGCTACTTGGGAAGCTGAGGTGGTAAGATCACCTGAGCCTAGGAGTTTGAGGCTGCAGTGAGCTATGATCCTGCCACCGCACTCCAGCCTGGATGACAGAGTAAGACCTTGTCTCAAAAAAAAAAAATGTGCTATAATGAGAATCTGAAAATAATGTGGTTTAGGCATCATTTAACTCCTAACAAGTACGTACAAGTATTTATGTCATTCTTTCAATGAGGTAAGGTAACTTACATTCCTACAGTGGAAACGAATATTATTTACTGGGTAAAGCAGGACATACATGTATGTACTAAACCACGATATATGTATTTTTCCTATACATACATAGCTATGATAAAATTTAATCTATAAATTAGGCACAGTAAGAGATTAACAATAACTAGCAATAAATGGAACAATTATAACAGTATACCATAATAAAAGCTATGTGAATGTGGTCTCTCCCTCTCAAAATATCTTACTGTACCATACTCGCCTATTTTTGGATCATGAAACAACGGATAAGGGGGGACTACTGTATAGAAACATGTCACATTTCTCACCATACTCTGTACTTTAGCTGTATTAAATTTAAACAATTTTTTAGAAACACCTGCCAAAAAGTATATTATGGCATCATTTAAGTCTTTGAAAATAGTCAACCCTGTGCTAGACATTGTACTAAGCATTTTACACATGCTAGTTCATTTAATCATGACAACACCACAATGACATAGCTACTATTATCATCTTCATCTTATAGAGGAAGAAATTGTTACTCAAAAAATGAACGAACTTGCCCAGGTCACATAGCTAGCTAGAGAGCTGGAATTCAAACCTAGGCTGTCTGGTTCTGAGTCAAGTTCCTATAAACTCTCCTGCCTCCTTTGTTATTCATCTGAAGTATAACAATTGAACATGTCTTTTAGTAAAGTAATTTGATTAAGATTAGTACTGCCTTACCCTCTCCCATTCCACTATAAAGGTTGCATTTAGCAAGTTAGACAACTTACGCTGAAGAGACATCCCACTTTGAGGGATTATTTTTCTTTTCAGAAAGACTTGGCTTCCTTGTCCTTTCTACTATTTCTTCTCCAGGTGGTTCTGAGTCATCTTGAGTTCTGTCAATAAATATTGTTTTTAAATATTTGAAACTAAGGATAATATGCCATAATTATTTATAAAATATTGCTAAACTTTACAATATAACTTAAGAGGCTGGCGAATATGTTTTAAGAAGATTTGATAAATATCTAACTCTAAAAGTCAAATCACAAATTTATAATGTAAACCTTTTATAGGAATCTAATTTTACAAAATAACTTCTATTTAGAAAAATGTGTAGAAAGTTGAGATATTAGCCAAAGATGCAAAAAAGGGAAATTTACAAAGACTATATTAATCTCACCATTCATAATTAACCAATGTTATTACCGTGATTTCTTTCTCTGAAGTGTGTATATATGCACTTAACCATACTTTAAAAAACAAACGTGGATGTTTCTTACTCTTTGTATTTTTTTCATTCAACATAGAGTAAACATTTTTCCTCATTATTAAATATTCTTGTACATCTTTTTAAATATCCTGTATTAGCAGTTGATTTTACTCTTTACTCTGATCAGTGCTAACTTGGAATAACATCAAAGTTCATTTCTTTCTTTAAAAATCTTAATAAATTTAGAAGTGTTTATGAAAATATTTTCAATTAAAGCTAGTTAAAATAAAAGCTAGTTAAACTTAGTACTCAACTGGGAAATAGCAATTGGATTGACTGTATTTTAAATCAAATCATATTATTTAAAGAGAGGTTAAACAAAACACAATTGTTTCATTATCTTGTTCACTGATGAAGTTCCTAGTTGAACTTGAAATCCAAAGCTCATAATGGCCTCACAACTGCTAAAGGAAAATGTGTCTCAAAGTTTATTTTCAGTCGAACATCTATAGGGAATATATATATGGCAGACTTTAGTTTTTAAAGAAAACAAGGCCTAAAAGCCAGAATAAATTACATTCTTGTAAAATTCTCAAGGTCTCAGTATTTTTGTTTACAAAGACTTCTCAGTAGAAATCATACCATACTAACAAAAGGCAAAGAATATAGTCTTTTGAAGAAACCTCTTGAATTTTTTTTCTACGTAGCTCAAAAAAGATCCGTTATGTTAGCTCTAAGTCTGAAAAGAGTTTGCAACACATACGATAGGCTCCCAGGACTTAAAAAAAAGAAAAACCAAAAAAAAAAAGAATCTTTCAGGGTTGGCAGTATGTCCTTGCTCATCTTTATATTCCTTAAGATTGAGCATAGAGTCTATCACATGGTAGGCACTCAATGAAAATGTGTAAAACAAACATAAAATCATTTCATTAAGATCTCTCAATGTAACATATGAGAAAACTGAGACCATGTAAGGTTAAGCAATTTGTCCAACATC